CCCCCCCCCCGCCCCAATCCCGGGTTAATAATATTAATTATTAAAGATAAAGGGGGTTGGGGAGGGGAGTTTGTCCCCCACCTCTCAACCACCAGCTGCTGCCATGAAAAATCCCTTTTTTTCCATGCAAAACACACTCCGGATGGAAGTGTCACTCATCAGCGCTCGGCAAATCATCCCTGCAATTAATTACCTTTACAAAAATTAATAATTTCTAACCCAAATCCATCCAAGGAGGGGGTTATGGAGCTGGAAAAGCAGCGGGAACACGACCCCGGCGCCATTCGGGAAGCCGGGAGTTAAGTGCGTCGGATTTCTTGGGTATGAGACCAAATTCGCGTTTAATTCCTGCCCCCATCACCGCGCTGCTGGCCGGCACGTTCCCATCCATCCCCAATCCCACCACTCACACTGCGCTGCGGCCCAGAACGAAACCATTAAAAAATAGGAGATATATAAATAGAGATAGATACAGATCCTTAAGTTTAAGAAAACGGTGTATTTCATGCTCCAAAGGGGGAAGGGGAGGAGGAAAAGGAAGAGTGAGCTGTTTTCCAGGGGGGAAAATACCAAGAGGGATCGTTCCCATCGCACCTTTCATTAGGATAAAGTCACGATATCGGGTGTTAATTACACTTGATGCCACCACGCAGCCAATTTCCTAACACATCCCCCTCGACACCTCCCCCCCCAAAAAAAAATTTAAAAATTCATTTGGAGATTTATCCCAGCCATTCCCAGATGAGAATATCTGGGGGGACGGGAATATTTTGGTGGTTGGGATGAAGCAAATGGTGGTTTGATGCCAGTGACCTGCTGGAATTAACCTCCAGGATCGTTCTGGGCTTTTAGCCCCCCCCCCAAATTAATTATAAATTAAAAAACACTATAAATTAATTAATTTGGGATGCGGAGGGTGTTGGGGGATCACGGCCGCTGCCGAGCGGCCGGGAGAGCTCAGAGCATTAAATAACTCACAGTTTCGGATAAATTAATGGGAACCGGGTCAGGAGTTCCAGGTGGGATATGCCCGGCCGAAGCTGAACACTGCGGGGACCCAGGAGGTCCCGGCGGGGTCACCCCAGCCTCGTATCCCCCAAAAGGCAGCTCGGCCCTTGCTGGGCTCTGGGGCCGCCTCCCCTGCCCCCCGTCCCACTCCCGGATCGGGCTCAGAACGGGGGCCGGGGTCGGGTCGCTCCAGAGTGGTTCCGCACTCCAGGGGAACGGCGAGTCCAAACGCGGCTGCCGGGCGCGCTGCAACGCGCTGCGCCGGCATCGGCCGCTCTTCGGGGAGGGATCCACTCGGGCTCGGGGTACAAAATAAAGCAAAAAGGTGATCGCGGCTGGCGGCAGCAGCCGCGCGTGTGCGGGGTGGCGGGGCTACGCGCAGGGGGGGCCCAGGGTTGTGTAACGCAGGGCCGGGGGCCGCGGGCTCACCTTG